TTACATTTTTTGGTTAAAAGTTAAGCCCATGAATTTAGCTCATGATTTCAACTCGGATGATTCATGATTTTGGGAATGTTTGCTGCGTTACGGAAAAGTTGCTCATGATATCATGAATATTATTCATGGTGTATTTTCATAACATGAAAACACGCTGTGTGCATGAAATCATGAGTCATTTTTCTCATTTCGGAGATCGGATTTTTTCCCGTGTAGAAGAGGGTAGGTGGATAGTTCCGCTAGAGTACGGCAGTATGAAAATTGAATACAAGTTGAAAATGAGCGAAGGGCCATTAATGCGACAGTTTTTAAGATAGACGCACATTTTTGCCTAACCCGTACGATGTAGGGGAGAACAGTTCATAACGCACCCCCGAGGTAAGACGCACTTTTTCATTTTATTTTGAGTTTTTCTTGGAATTTTTAATCCAATTCTAGGATTTATCTAGCAGGATTTTGAGTTCAGATGCTATGCTTGAAGTGCTGCTTGATAAGACAACAAAAAGTTACTTAAAAGCCATGAAAAACACAAATGAAAGTCAGCTGGTGCGTTCTGCCCAGGGGGTGCGTTGTATACCATTCTCCCCTACGCGGGGACTTGAAGTATGTCTCCAAGTCCACAGGCAAAAATGTGCGTCCCTCTTATTGCTCATAAACTGACTGCGGCTGAGGAATAGTAGTACGGATTAGGCAAAAATGTGCGTCTTTCTTAAAAACTGTCGCATTAATGGCCCTTCGCTCATTTTCAACTTCTATTCAATTTTCATACTGCCGTACTCTAACGGAACTATCCACCTACCCTCTTCTAAAGATCATTCTCTAGCTAATAAATCATCACACTAAAGCTTCATGTTAGCATTTCCAACCAACTCTTAGAACTTGTTGTTAAAGGCCAGCTGTTGGAGTATTGAAATAGTAATAGTTTGTTGATACCAGAACAACCGGGATATCGGGAAGCTCATTCTTGTAAAACCGCTTTGAATTTGGTATTAGCGAAGTGGAAAAATAACTTGGAGTGTAAAGATACGATTGTTGCTGTTTTTTGGATCTTAAACGCGCTTTTGAAACAATTTCTAGGCCCAAGATCAATCAAGCGCTTTGGAATTACGAGTACCGTAAAACGGGGTATCTTTGATAATGCGGGTAACTTTGATAGTATAATATAAATATTAAATTTAATCGCTGCGCTTTTCCTAAATTAGAAATATTGGTTCCATATTGTAGCTTAGGGTATTACCGTTGATATCGTATATAGTTTTTATATAGTATGTGCTACATATTATACAAACATATTAAAAAACCATTTTAGTATTTTTGGCCTGTTTGAAAAAGCACTCAAACCATCATTGATGAAATCTATTTCCGATATAGCCATCACAAATTCAATGTTGTATTTTTATTGCGTATGATGTTTTCTGATTATATACTCATTCAAAGTTTCATATTTAAAGAACTGAAAAGTTTGAGTTTCACGATTTTTTTTTCCTATATTCATCGAGCATTATCAAAGTTACCCCAAATCAAATAACTGATGTTCGGTCACACAACCTAAAAAATAGTGCAAATGCTTTAATTTTCGTTAAATAAATAACTAACGAATTGACTCCTAGATCCTCAGTACTTGTTTTAAAAATATAAAATTTAAAAAATATTCATTGCTGCAAAAAAAATTTAGAATATACTTTAAAAAATTATCAATGTTACCCCGTTTTACGGTACTGCATATAAGTGGTTTGAAAGCTATTTGTCTGACAGAACTCAACGGATTGTTGCTAATGATTCTGCTTCTAGTCCCGTGGGGAATAACCTTGGAGTGCCCAAGGGAAGTGAATTAGGGCCCCTGTTATTTATTATGTATATTAATGACTTGCGACTTGTTTTAAGATTTTGCGACATTAATCTTTTTACAGATGATACTGTGATATTCATTGCAGCTAAGGATTTAGATGATGCCGTTTTACACTTGAATGAATATTTGCGTTCTCTAAGTAGATGGTTGAAGTATAAGCAGTTGAAATTGAATACAAGTAAAACTAAATTTATGGTAATTTCGCGGAGTCGAGTAAATGAGAACGTCTCTGTTGTAATTGATGATGAGACTATTGATCACGTCCGGGAGATTAAATATCTTGGCGTGATTATTGATGACACACTTAATTTCAACTCTGACATTGACAATGTCATCAAGAAAATTGCCAAGAAGTATGGAATTCTATGTCCACTGAAAAACGATTTAACTATTGCCAGTAAAATACAGCTTTACAAATTAATCATCTCTCCTCATTTTGACTTTCGCCCTTCCATTTTATTTCTGGCCAATGCAACACAAATATCGAGATTACAGCGCTTGCAGAGTAAAATAATGCGTTTGATTTTGAGATGTAATAGATTCGCCTTATAATGGTTGTCGGTGAAGCAAAGAATTGTATATTTGAACAGTTATCCAGTTTTTTTTTATGAATTGACAAATTATGTATCTTGACGAAGTTATCTCTAACGGATTATTTTATATGGATAGCTGTCATAACGAATTTTTAATAATTATTGTAGCCCTGCAAAAACTATTTCTGTTCGCCACGAGGGTGATGATGGATTTTTTATATTTGATTTAATAGTAGATTAATTAAAAAAAAAATCTACAAAGGTTTGAGCCTCGCGCGCGTATTACGGATATAGAGGACTGAATTTAACATTTGATAAAAAAAAAAATGCAATTTTGAAGCTTAATTGGAAGATACCTTGAGTTAGTAGTAAGTTTCCTTGCAAATGTTGGGGGTTCGTGAGCATTCCTGAGATTGCTGAAAATTATGATAGCATCAGATTGCGGGGTTGCTAGTGTAATAGGATGCTTTGTTGATTGTTCATTAACTCTTGATTGCTTGTAATACTTATGAATATTTTAGGTGGACAAAAAGGCGAACTAAGAGGTGGACGCCTGAGCTTTTCCACATTTATATCGCTGTGAAGCAACTGTAAACTCTAGAGGGAATTTATATCTGTAACTGAAACCAGTTGGATTTTGTTTGCCAACCTGGTTAAAATGTCATATTTAATTATCTTAAAGATAAATCGTCCAGCTCAAACCTTTGGGACCATCATCATCATGATCATCATCTATGAGCTCAAGAAGCTTCTCAAAGTTTTCGATTACACTTCTAGACTCATCGTATAAGTCGAGTGCATGCATCCTAACGCGATACGAAGACAGCGATACTGGATACGTTCCAGTCGCCGACTGGAAACAAAAACTACCGTACTCTAAAACCGATAAAATCGTTGTCCGGTACAACGTTAGAAGATCTTGCGGATGGGCTCCCCACCACGTTCCGGTAATTGTACGAAGAAAATTGATCCTTTGTTGGCATTTTCTTCTCAGGTACTCAATGTGGGATCTCCAGGTGCACTTGGAATCGACCCCAAGATATTTGAAAGACATGGAATGAGTGATCGGCTTACCAAAAAGTTGAAGCTGCGGTTGTGCTGGGCTATGCTTCCTAGAAAAAAACGACCAACTCAGTTTTCTCCGAGGAGAATTCGATACCTAGCTGGACAGCCCACTTAGACAAGTTGTCTAAGGTATCCTGTAAGGGTCCTTGCAGGTTGACCTCTTTGGGCCCTGTCAAAGACACTACGCCGTCATCTGCAAGTTGTCTCAATGTGCAGTTGTCACTAAAACAATTATCAATTTCTCTGACATAGAAATTGTACAAAAGGGGGCTTAAACATGAGCCCTGGGGGAGACCCATGTAACTAAATCGAGAAGCTGTAGAGTTTCCATGAGAAAAGCTCATATGTTTCTCTGACAGCAAATTGTACAAAAAGTTATTAATCAATGGGGATAAGCCACAAGCGTGGAGTTTGTCTGAAAGGACTTCAACCGATACTGAATCAAAAGCCCCCTTAATATCCAAGAACACAGAAGCCATTTGCTCTTTTTTAGCAAAAGCCAACTGAATTTCTGTGGAAAGCAACGTGAGACAGTCGTTCGTTCCCTTACCCCTACGGAAACCAAATTGAGTATCTGAGAGTAGGTGGTTCGTCTCAACCCATTTGTCAAGGCGAAAAAGGAACATTTTTTCCAACAATTTTAGAATGCACGATAACATCGCAATGGGACGATACGAGTTATGATCTGGCGCGGGTTTGCCAGGTTTTTTAATGCCTATTACTCTCACTCGCCTCCAATCATCTGGAACAATATTGAGCTCCAGGAACTGACAAAACAAGTTCAACATGCGCCTCTTAGCGACGCCTGGGAGATTCTTCAACAAGTTGAACTTGATCCTATCAGCCCCCGGAGCCGAATTACGACACGAAAGGAGCACGAGTGAGAGCTCCAGCATTGAAAAAGGCCAGTTGATCTCGTTTACTGGATTCGTCGTTTTGCGAGGAATCATCTATGCAGGCACGGAATCAGGACACACTTTTCGCGCGAACTTGAGAATCCAACGATCCGAGTACTCCTTGCTCTCGTTGTTTGAAGACCGGTTACGCATCCTTCGCGTCGTGTTCCAAAGCGTATTCATCGACGTTTCGCGCGATAATCCGTTAACGAATGGCCGCCAGTAACCGCGTTTCTTGGCTTTGATGAGGCTCTTGAGTTCGCGTTCAAGAGTCGAGTATGCTTCAAAAAGCTCGGGTGTTCCGCGTTTCCGGAAAAGCTTAAACGCGTCGGACTTTTTACGATAAACCTCAGTGCATTGCTGGTCCCACCAAGGGGAAGGAGGTTTCCTACGGAAAGACGTTCCTGGAACCAGCCGAGTTTGAGCTCGAAGCACGCTGTTCAAGATCAGGTTGGAAAGGAAGTTATATTCCTCCAACGGTGGAAGCTCTTCTACCGACGTTAGGGCCAGGGATGGTATTTTTGAAACTTTTGTTTTTTGTATTATATTTTGGAAAATTACCTCTTATGTCAGGCTTATCCATACCAATTTAAGGTATCGATATTCGTTGCTGTTCGGGTTCTGTACTAATTAAAGTTTTTTTTTTTCTATTCACAGATAAACCGGGACTCCGAGCAACAGAGCCTGAATTAGCGAATCCTTCGTACAACAACTTGGATAAAGCATCGTCGGTTCCTGATGAAAATAATTTAAATTTTAATCTCGATAAAAATAATGCAAAATCATTATCAGCAAACAATTGTAGTGGTGCCCATAAAAGTGTTGTATCAGGTGGAATTGGTAGTAGTAAAGGAAATGGAAGCAGTGATTATCAATCAAAGTATTATAAGAGTGATAACAGTAACAACTTGAACACCCCAGCAACGAGTAACGTAACGGAGCATCAGCATATGTTGAGTGAATCGAATGACAATTCGAACAATAGTGTTAGAAATTCGCCCCTGTTCAATGGATGTAAAAGTGTTCTTCAACCAGCGCATTCAGTGAATAATTCAAACAAGCCTTCGTTAAGCAAAAACGCATTACTAAGCTCGTGCCAGGGATCATTCCATTCTTTACAGGGTGGTCTTAGTTCAGACAACAGCACATTTGTGCAACCGTATAGTAGTAGTATATCTTCAACAAATTCTTCGTCAAATACGACGGCAGTTGTAAGTTCACAGCAACAATCTAGCAGTTTAGCTCACTTTCATCAGCAGCAACTCTCTCAACATCGGCAAGGCTGTTCTATAACACCAGCTGAATCATTAAATGGTAGCGGCACATTAGTTTTTAGTAGATCAAGGATTAACAGTAATAGTGATTCATCTAATAATAAGAACAACAACTTTAACAAACTTAACTACGACAAAAAATGCTCGAGTTCTGGTGCTAACATAAATATACATAGTAATAACCGTAACAAAAGCAATAACAATAGTAACACAATAAACATTAGCAGTAGTAGTAGTAGTAATCATCAAAGTGAAACCAATCAGTTGAAGAGTATTATCGAATTGAATACTCAAGTTAGTGAATTGAATAGTAAAAATATTGAGTTTAACAGGCAACTAAGTGCACCTACTGAAAACAACAATAATCAAAACAACCCCAATTGCTACAGTAACAGTGTGTACAATCTATATTCGAATCACATATTGAGTCAATACTACACCGGTTCACCGAACACAAATAGTCTCAACCGAACGAAAAAGAAGAGGAGCTTCAAGCTGAACGGAAGGTATGCTATTCGAATTAGTAATTGATAATGTTAGTATACTCTTGTGCGTTGCGTCATGGTCAGAGCAATTGCTAGGGTTGATCGACTAAAGAATGTAAACATCACACATTTGTCAAAACTAAAGAGCATGGAGCTCAATGCATCCGATTTTATTTTCAAAGCTCACACAAACTTTATGTTTATCATAGACCAAAGCTTGAGATATAAGATACCGATGAAAAAAAAATGTAGAACAAACAGGTGGTGTTGCGTTTTGCACAAAATGGTTTCAAAATGCATTTTTTTTTCCATAAATCACATGAAAAGTCTGTAAAGTCTTTTAACATACCATCACTAATGTTATAATTTTTATTTATTATTTTTGAATGATGAAAAATAATTTACAACGCTTCCAACAACTGATTTTTATCAACTTTTTTTCACGTTGTTTAGGTTTTGAGATAGTATATTTCTCAATTACATTTATTGTTTTACTTTCATTTAACAGAATAAGGCCAATCATGCTCAATTATTCAGTTTTGGCCTGTAAAAGTGTCTTTCAACCAGACTAAAATAGTCGGAAAAGATACGATGCAGAAAAAGGTGTGTTTCACAAGAAAATTAAATTATTTAATAGAATTCCTTCCCAATTTCTTGACTTGTGCTTCATAGAAGTCATTGTAGTTTAAAGGAATTAATTCAAAGTGTTTTTATGTTACTTCATACGCGAAGTTAGCCTGTATACTTGAAGACATACTTAAGTCATCACGTACATCGAACGGGTTAGGCAAAAGATGTGCGTCTGACTTTAAAAACTGTCGCATTTATGGCCCTTCGCTCATTTTCAACTTCTATTCAATCTTTATACTGCCGTACTCTAACGGAACTATCCACCTACAGTCTTCTAAAGATCATTCTCTAGCTAATAAATTATCACACTAAAGCTTTATGTTAGCATTTCCAACCAACTCTGAAAGGAATTAATGTTTTCCATTCGATGTCTTGACACATTAAACATGCAACAACATTAGCAGAATTTAAGAGATATTGCATTTCACATGATAAAACTATCCAAAGATTTTTGTTAGGAATTAACAAATTATGTATCTTGACGAAGTTATCCCTAACGGACTATTTTACATGGATATGATGATGGATTTTTACTAGAGGGTGTCCCAGCATGTCTAAGCACGATTTAAAAAACGATAATGTAACTTTGTTTCCAGCAAATTCGATTTTTATTTCGTATTCATGTTCTCAATAGTATTCTCTCACAGTTCAACGTAGACAATCCGAGATCCGATCAGTCGTAAGCCAAGGAGTGGATTTTTGATCTCACACTACTCATTAGCTTCAGCACAGATGCCTTTCCAACAATGTTGGATTCTTTTTCCCAGTCTTTCACAAACTTTGTAACGGAATCCGCTGCCTTTACATGTTTCCGCAAATATGCTTTGGTCAGGGCTCAAAAAGTTTCGATTGGCCTGGCCTGGGGACAGTTTGGCGGATTCATCTCTTTGGGTAAGAATTGAGCCATGTTGGCTTTATACCAGGCTACCGTGTCCTTGAAGTAATGAACCGACACCAAATCCGGCCAAAACAGTACTGATGCGTCATGTTTGCGGATCATGGGTAACAGACGCTTGTTTAAACACTCACGCACGTAAACATCGGTTGTGATTGTCTCCGTTGTAACAAACGGTTTGGAAAGCATACCACATTCACAAATGGCTTGCCAAACCATAGCCTTTTTACCAAATTTTTCGGTAAAAATCGACTTGTCCAGGTCGTTAACACTTCAGCCATCACGAACCAGGAAGAGCTCCACACAGTAATTGGTTCTATAATTTCCAAGCCCATGGATTAACGGATGCGGCTTGTTTTTCACTCCGCTTTGGCTTCTTCTGCTTCTTACACGTCTTTAAACCCATTCTTGACTTGGCCCGCTGGACGTTACTCTTCGAAGGTCCCAATTTTTCGCTACGTCTCGAACCGAAGCACTTTTCTTGCGAGTGAAAGCTTTCACGATTTTCCGGTAAAGATTTCGGTTTTCGTCCAGATTTTTGCATTTCCTGGAAAGTTGCTTCATCACCATACTTCCGAACCGCGTTTCAAACGGCTCCGAAGCAAACACCTTCCAATTTTGCTAATTGACTCAGGTAAATGTTTGTGTACGACCTGTTTGCGCATTTCCGGAGAAAAGCTTCCCGAGCAAAAACGAATATCGCGATACCTTAGATTGACTTAAGAGCTTAGAACTTACAAAAAAAAAAAAATTAAAAGGGTCCCACAATACCATTCCAATACCAAATTATGATAACAAACAATTCCACACAGGTTTTCTTTTGGTATCCAAATATTTTTTTTTTTCTATTTACAAAGTATTTTTCATGTAATTTTTTGGTATTTTACCTCTTATGTCATGCTGGTCAATGTTGGTATCAGGTCCGAATTAGGAATTCATTATTCGCATTGTCACGGAAATGTAAAGAACCGACACTTCCCGAGCAGGAGAAAATAGCTAATGAATACGTTATTCTGATCTGATACCAAACTTTGGTATTGAACTGCAAGACATAAGAGGTAAAATACCAAAGAATAATACCAAAAAATTGCATGCAAAGTACTTTGTAAATAACAAAGATTTATATTTGGGTACACAAAATAATAGCTGTGTGGTATTTGGTATTGCATTATCATAATTTGGTATTGGGATAGTATTGTGGAAACATTTTTTTGGTATTGTTTTTTGGTATTTCACCGCTTATGTCAGGCTCATCCATACTAATTATAATTTAAGGTATCGAGATATTCGTTACTGCTCGGGTTGCGATACACGAAAATGTTGGTCGAAATGCAAACAATGATTCAGCGTGATAATCAGCTGTTTAAACAACATTTGAAACAAGCAGAGGTGTTCCAAAGTCGTGCTTAGATATTCTTGGACACCCTATAATTGATGTATTAGTAGTAGATTAAAAAAAAAAAGTAGTCTACAAAGCTCAAACCGTGCACGTTTTACGGATATAGGGGACTGAATTTAACATTTGATGAAAAAATGTAATTTCGTAACTTACTTGGAAGATACCTTGAGTTAGTAGTAAGTAGCCCATCAGCGTCTGCACAGTGGGAACGGACACGGAATCAGCGCATTTCTTCCATTTTACCCGCATTGTATGGATGTTATTGACTGCTCCGCCGCTTTGCCGAAGTTGCTGCTTTGAAATTACCCAGTATTTTTCGATTGGTCAAAATTCTGGGCAATTCGTAAGGATTCATAAGCTTGAGGACAAAATCGATCTTGTTGGAATCATACCACTCCAGAACCACCTTGGAGTAGTGGTAGCTTGCCAAATCGGGCCAAAATATGACTTTGCCCCTATTCTTGCGGATGAACGGCAATATACGCTATTTTAAGGAATTTTCCGATGTAAACTTGGGATGTCTACCTCGAGGATGTGACGAATGGTTCCGTTTTTAGGCCACAACTGCAAATCGCTTGCCAAATCATGGCCTTCTTCGCGAACTTGTCGGCAAACACGAACTTGAATCTTCCCGGCACATTCCCACGTCCAGTCGTGATGTAAAACTTTTGACCGGGATGCTGCTTAAAATCGAGTTTGACGTATGTTTCGTCATCGATCAAAGTGCAGCCCTTGTGTTTCGTCAAAAAACGGTCGTACAAGAGCCTTGCACGCTTTTTGGCCACGGAATTATGCTTCATGTACCGGTTCGGATGTTTACTGGCTTTGTAAGACTTGTATCCTTCCCTGACAAGGATGTTCCGCACCGTTTGAAAGTTGACGTTGTACCTTCTGGCCACTTCTCGGATTTTCGATCACCGGAGTTAGCTTTGACGCACGTCAACACCTTGCTGCGCAGCTGACGGTTCCAGTTTTTTTTTTCTTTTGGTTCGTTGATTCCTTTCCACACTCAGGGTTGTAGGTTTTGAGCACTCGACAAACTGTTGTTTTAGGCATCTTCAGCACTTTAGCCAGCTTGGAACCGGACCACTTCAGATTTTTCAGGTGTTTGTGCACAATATTTGTCTTCTTTCAAGTTCCATTTGATGTTATTTCTGAACGCGATCGACTACTTTGATCAAACTTGGTTTGGTTCTCTATCATCAATTAAAAATCATTACTTTTTATTCATACAGGGAAACAATTTACAGTTATTTCGGTAAAAATTATAACTGAACCATGTACCGAACGGTTTTACATCATTCTGTAAAATTTACAATTCAGTTTACAGCTCGAGGTTGAAGAAAATTTACTGAACGGATTGTAAATTATAAAATTACCGAATAGATTACCGAATGTTCAGCTGTTCCATATTCGGTTAAAAATACAGTATACTGTAAATAAATCTTAGTGTGTAACTGGCAATTAAAATATGGTGTTGATGAGGCTGTCATAAGAGATAAAATACCAAAAGTAAAAACTCAAAAATTTCCTACAAATAACGAAATAGTATATCATTTAGTTTCCATACCCCAGCAGTAACGAATATCTCGATACCTTAAATTGGTATGGATGAGCCTGATATAAGAGGTAAAATTAAAAAAAAAATAATACCAAAAAAATTCCCAAAATACCATACCAATACCAAATTATGATAATGCAATACCAAAACAATACCGCACATTTTTTTTTTTTGTTTTTTTTTTGATATCCGAATATCAATTTTTGTTCTTTGCAAAGTATTTTACATGTATTTTTTTTTGTATTATTCTTTGGTATTTTACCTCTTATGCCATGCTGATCAATACCAAATTTTGGTATCAGGTCAGAATTAGGGATTCATTAGTTATTTTCTCCTGCACGGTTAATAACTGTCCAATAATCAACGCCTTTTTTATGTCTGAATGACATAATTTGATATTTAAATGATATAACTCTTTTAGGTGTTATTGTCTAAAATCTGAAAGATCACGTTTTGCTATTTTGGTATTTATTTTAGATATTTACAGAATATTTCAATAACTGACTAATTAAAAAAAAACAAGGTTTAATACCACAAGCGTACCAAAGTAAGGCATCATACCTTATTAAGATATGTTATCGGTTAGTTATCGGTTTCTTGCTCGGGTACCCGACCCGAGCACTCGAGCAGTAGAAAATAACTAATGAATACATAATTCTGACCTGATACCAAAGTTTGGTATTGACCAGCATGACATAAGAGGTAAAATACCAAAGAATAATACCAAAAAATTGCAAGAAAAATACTTTGTAAATAACAAAAAATTATATTTAGATACCAAAAGAATAACTGTGTGGTATGGTTTTGGTATTGCATTATCATAATTTGGTATTGGAATGGTATTGTGGGAACATTTTTTGATATTGTTTTTTGGTATCTTACCTCTTATGTCAGGCTCATCCATACCAATTAAAGGTATCGAGATATTCGTTCCTGCTCGGTTACTGTTACATGCATCCAAAAGGAAATTTATTAATTATTTCAATGAAGGGTAAATATCACCTTAGTCGCATTCTATATGCCATTTATCGTCAATGAAAATACAACATTTGAAATAATAAAGTAAAAGCCGGGATTTTTTGTTTCTCCAAAAATGTTCAAAGAGCTGTTTATTTTCAGTATTTTCATCAAAATTTCTGAAATTCTGGCTGCTGGTGAATCAAATATTCAAGGTTTAAGTGTTGTTTTGTGCTTGATTGGCTGAGTTTGCATATTTTGAAAAACGCCATAATAAACGCTCGATTTGTATGATATGATATTTGGTATGCAAAAGTGCTTCCAATGAAACATTTAATTAGGAGTCTTAAAATGATGGTCAAGGTCCCCTTTTTGAATGGAGAATGATTTGGGAATACTGATTTTTTTTTTTGTAATGTTATTCTGACAAAGACACCGTACCACAACTATGGGAGTGTTATCTTATAGGAAGTGACGAAGACGTACCGTTAAGGTGGGTTATTCCACGCACCTATAGCGAAAGTAAAGTATTTCTCTTTACAGAAACTCTGGAAGCAGAGAAAATTTACTGCCTAATGTACCATTTTGTAGTTTTGTTTATCATATTACCTTAAAAAATATAAAATTAAAAAAAATGCCTTTAACAATGTTGTGACGGTACTTACAATTTTGCACACTGATTTGAGCGATGTTTGTAGTTCCGCTCATTAATGCACCTAATTCCGTGCAGTTTTATTCCTCTGGAATTAAAATCCTATGTTGGTTTTGAATACGCTTATTCGCATCATACTTTATACGGACATAATTCTTATGGAAGTGAGCGGAACACCAAAATATCGTCTGCTTTGCTATTTCTGCAATTAAAACATGATTTCAAAACTTTTTATTGATTTACGACATGAAAATGGCAGAGAACAATTGTATTTACATGTTCAACACCTTTGCACTCCAAAATGTTCAAGTAAATCGATGAAACAAATAATAATTTACGATGTACCCGAGCAGGAAAAAATAACTTATTAATTCCAAATTCAGGTATGAAAATAGCATAGCTGGCAACCTAGATATGGTATTAGAGAGGCTGACATAAAAGGTAAAATACCAAAAATAATGCCTCAAAAATATTCTACGAATAACGAACTAATACATAATTTAGTTATTAAAATAACAAATGGATAACAGACGCTTTTTTAGATGCCATAATTTGTTATTTTGAAGGTCTTCTAGTACTTATTAAAAAGCTCTTTTAGGTGTTATTGTCTAAAAACTGAAAGATCACATTTTGCTATTTTGGTATTCATTTGATATTTTACAAAATATTTTGATAACTGAATAATATCAAAACAATGTTTTATACCACAAGCATACCGAAATTTGCTATCATACCCCATTAAGATATTCATTTGTTATCGATTAGCTATCGGTTCCTGCTCGGGTAGGGTGTGAGCTTAACAGTTAAAGGATTCTGTTGAAATGTCGTTTTCCCGAGCAGGAGAAAATAACTAATTCTGACCTGTTACCAAAATTTGGTATTGATCAGCATGACATACGAGGTAAAATACCAAAGAATAATACCAAAAAATTACATGCAAAATACTTTGCAAACAACAAAAATTGATATTTGGCTACCAAAAGCATACCTGTGGGCAGTGCTGCAAAATCTCGACAGTACACGGTGATATTGACAATTCTGCTTTGGTCACTCATTGGAGCCAGCAGTCATAGTCAAGGCAAACCATGTCAATTGTCAATGACAATGTTGTCAGTGACGAACATGTGCAGATTTATTTATTAGCTAAATTTGTAACGAAATTAAAAGACTTGAGCAAAACAATAACATGGATCCATTTTAGTGAATAAGTATCTACGTCCTGAGCTACTTGGATAACAATAATGTGACACAGAATGTACTAAATTACACTTTTTGTTACCAGGTGAATCTTTGTCATTGACGAAAAAATGAATGAGATTTTGACGAAGGTTTTTTTGAGGATCAAGTCTGTCAGTGACTATGTGACGAACAATTTAGTCAATATCGCGCGAAAGTCTGTCAGTGACAATGACAAATCTCAGCACTGCCTGTGGGGTATTGTTTTGGTATTGCATTATCATAATTTGGTATTGGAATGGTATTGTGGGAGCATTTTTTGGGTATTATTTTTTGGTATTTTACCTCTTATGTCAGGCTATTTCATACCAATTTAAGGTATTGAGATATTCGATCCTGCTCGGGACATGCATAATTATACATATTAGCACGTTTATTTTAACCATTTGCATGAACAATATCAGATTGATTGTCAAGTGCGTGGAATAACCCACCATCACGGTAAAACACCTTTATATGAACGAATAAAATGCACCTACAGATATTGGGTCAACACACAATATGTGTTAGTAAAGTCTACAATATTTTAGCGATTAAGCCACACGTGTGTAATTATCGTGTTCGAAATCGTTTCTAAATCCTATTGATGTGAAGACAAGATGAGTCTGTTATTATTTGCTATTTACCTGTGCTCCATGAAATATGGGATAGCGTACGATACAAGGTTAAAAAATAGGAAGCAAAAATAACCTCAAAGTTATCTTTGATTGGATATAACCGTGGATGATGCGCAAAGTCTGATGCGCTATCATGAAGTTTCATCTTTATGATTCTTTTTCGGCGATCTCTACTCGTTTTAGAATACATTTATGGTGTTTATAATTAATTTTAGGCATCAATCAATCGCTGCTGTATTATCCATTCAAACCAATTTTTGAAGTAAACAATTTCCCTTGGCTATGTGCAACGCAAAGAGTAGTTCATTTGCATATATGTGCTTGTGAGTTATTTGTTTATTTATAATTGTCCATTGAACAATATTTTTTTCTCAAAACATCTTCTCTAATCAAATATTACACATTTGGTATCTTTGCAGATTATTTAATGCAGCTAGCACTGATTCTATAAGGTTTCACTCGAATCTTATAAATCAAAATGAAAACGATTTAAGGGTATCAATTGATAATACTTGTACAGATTCCTTAGTAACAGCATTGGACGACGAAGCACTTTTAATTAATGATTACATAAACGATATGGCAAAATCAAAAGTAATCAGTTGACAATAATGATAATTAAAAAAAAATGAACAAAATAATAGCTTTATTTTCTCCCAAAGGTACATTTTGACGACGTTTCCCTATACGGGACACCAAAAGAAGAACCGCTTCCAAGCATACCACCGTCTACTGAAAAGCCATCATCGAATTTTTTGAAAAACCAGCTACAAGCATGGTTTCAGCCAACAGACAATCGACTTGCTATGAAGCTTTTCGGAAGCAAAAAGGCTCTAGTGAAAGAAAGGATTCGACAAAAGACATCCGGCCATTGGGTGATTCATCCTTGCAGTTCATTTAGGTACCCTTCAGTTTGATCGTCTATCGGTAAAAATGAAAATATTAATTAATTTTGTAAAATTTCTTTTTAGGTTTTACTGGGACTTGTGTATGTTACTACTGCTAGTAGCAAATCTGATAATATTGCCTGTTGCCATATCCTTTTTTAATGATGACCTCAGTACGAGATGGATTGCCTTCAACTGCTTAAGTGATACGATTTTTTTGGTTGACATAGTAGTCAACTTTAGGACAGGTAATTTTTCGAAAATAGTCAAGTAATGTCACCACTAATCTTCCGTTTCGATAATTACCCAAAAAATATCAATCGACGGAATTGGAAGAACTAAAGTTGGATCAATGTCCTTTTTGATTAAATCCAGTCCATTGTCATGGCACCACTAAGCTAGTTTGCCAAATCTGATCATAACTACACTAATCGTATGGCATCAAGTAGCTGTTTTGTGGGAAACACTATATTCTGCAGTGTGCCATAGTAACAATCAGGCCTAAACATACTCATTATAGCTAAAATACTACTAGAGGCGCAGGTGGTGTAGTGGTATGCGTGATTAACTCTCACCCCAGCAGGCCTAGGTTCAAGTAAAGCCGTTGGTCCCCGGTTCATGAGTTGATGGATCGATGGGTAGGGATCAGGTGTGGGAGTTTTCTCCCTGGCGTCGGTAGCATTGGTGCTCAGCACGGAAAACAAGATCGATGGAAAACAAATCAAGGGAAAAAAACTCAAATACTACTTTTTGAAATTATGAATCTTTGAGATATTATATGTAATAATAATTTGTATATGCAAGATGCAAGAAGAGGAGGTGAATATTGTGTATGACACATATATCCAGTCAATTTTGCTTTCAGAGGGTCACATATGAAAGCAAAATTGAGTGGATTTATGTGTCATAAACAATTTTTACCTCCTCTTCTTGCATCTTACATATACAATCTATTATTATAATATCTCATAGTTTCATAATTTCGAAAAGTAGTTTTTCGGCTGTAATGAGTATGTTCAGGCCAGAGCCATGATTGTTGTGCTCTATTCTACGCGCCAGAAACAGCAATGTTGCATATTGATCAGTTGATTGAGCATAATAATAAGACATCAGTGACTTGAATCATTATTAACTTTTGTTCCTAACATTTGATCGATAAGAAAATTTGCTACTATTTAGCCCAGCTATTATTTTTTAAAGCAGAGTGATGTGGCGAATTGTTAGATAAATATAAACAAAAACATAAGTTTTCTCATAGTAATTCCCATGTAAACTTGAAATAGTTTTTGTCAAGTTTGTTTTTTACTGAATATATTCAATTTTTGGGAGGCTAATCTTTAACTGAAAATTTCAAATTTTAAATCAGTCTTTTGCAAACTTTTGAGTCCACCGTATTTTTTGTGACGACAACCTGCGATTTTCAGATTTTTCCAGTCTTAATTTTTTCGATTAAAGATTTAAATCTACAATATGTGGAGACTTTCAACTTATTACTATATTGCCCATAAACGCATAACTGTCCCATATAGATTTTTGTCAGAAATTAGTTATAAATTAGAATCGATTAAAAACTACCGGTATTTTTCTTTGTGCACTAAAAGTTGCACATAAAATGTCGTTAAAATACCGAAACTTGGTTGTCCCAACCATAATAGCCTACGGAGAGATACATTTTCAACAGAGTTTTTCTCGGCATGCTGTATTTCCACTAGGGATATCACTATAACCAATATATGTATAATAACATTTTTAAAAAAATCGCGAAGCTCAATGATCAGTTTAGCTCAAAATTCTACGATAAGAATGCAGATGAGCAACTACCGGTGTGAAACTCAAAATCATAATTTAACAACCTTGATAGCAAGGAACAGGCTACTAGCTAAAAAGCAAAGACTAAAGTTGTCAAAATTGCAATCCGAATAGCCACGCATCGATATGGTTACTCTAAAAAAATAATATCTATCTTCTTAACAAAAAATCCTACAATTCACAAAGCGCACCGTAAATGCATACACCCTCGTCAATGTGTAAATTTCCATTACACTTCAATTATACAAATAATATAATTACACTGCTATTTTTGCGACAGTGTATATGCTTTCGATGCGCATGGTGAATACTGAAGACGGAATAGTAAACAGACTGATGAAGGCGAATCCAGCAGAGTCCAACGGACTGTTAAAATATGGAGCCAACGGACATAGGTTTTAATAGCAGAGAGTATTGAAATCCATTCGCATTGCTTCAACCCAAAAAAATGGTAGATTTGTATTTTATGTTTTCAAGAAGAGCTATTCAATAAATCATTATAGATTACATCAACCTTTGAATAAACACGTAATTGAAAACCGAGTTGACAGTCGATTTAAGGTTGTTTTGTGTTTACAAAATTTATTATTCCACAGGAATAACAGAGAACAAATATGGAGTAATTCTATGTTTAAACACATGCAAGTGTTGCTATTACTGAATGCAAATATATCGGTGCTACTAGTTTCATTGAATTTCTACTAGCCACTCTGTATTTACTATACTGTCTGTAATGAATACTCCTAATATAGGCTTAAACATGAATGCACAGGCATTTTTGATCCTCCCAGTGTATTTTTTCTTGAAGAGCATTTAATTTTAAGCATCTTGTTACGTGATCAAATAAGTCGAACAAGTTATAGTTTTTTTTAAATAAATAAGATTTTTTAGCAAAGCCCTTACGGAAACTTTTAGCATGTTGTAATGGGGAGTACAATCATGGGTGGCTACCAACATACATATGTGCAAAATTTTATTCAAATCAGAAAGAGATCCATCAGGGTGCTATTTTGAGATAAACTGCAGCGAAATGTTATAAAGACCAACTATGCTATCAGTATTGTGCAACGGATTCGTATTCGAGGGGGGACTTTTAATCTTACCGGCCATCAAACAACAGATTCTGACCCTTAGGCAAATCAATATGGTCATAAACTATGCCCTAAAAGCTTTTGCTTATGCTGAAATTTAACAGATCCCTTTCGTGGACCATTAAACCTATCTGACTGAGACTTATTTTGCCACGGCCAGGGGAGACGTTTGGTTTGGTTTTGCAGAAAAACACAAAAATATGGTTTGACGAAACCCATGCATCTTCAATATGTATATATTTTGTTTATAGTGTACTGATTCGCACGGTACACCATTTCCTCCTAGCAGATGATGTAATAATATTTGTAAAAAACAGCAAAAGCATCTTCCATTTAATTCAACTTAATTAATTTTTGTATCCATGACAGATACGTATTTCGACTACAATGTGCAGTCTTCATCAGTGTCATTCCCGCTAAAGACTTATCAAAAACCTAACCCCCTTAAGTACTCATCCCCTAGGTAAAAAAATGTCAAGATCACAGGTATAAAAATGAAACTACAATGTGTAGAATCGGAACCTACCTAACAAATAATAACCAAAGGTTTTAGTAAAGTAAAGGAAAAAAATCCCAAAGGCTTGGTGGCCATCATAATGAAGTAATGAAATTGGGTTGTTAGTGGAATGCTTTTTAACTAAGCATTCCGCTAACAACCCAATTTCATTACTTCAATATTTACATCTAGACCAATCACATTAACAAACAGAACTTGTATTACATTAAATAAACATTGAATAACTTTTGAATATCATTGTATGAATCTAATACGATTTTCTTTAATTTTCAGGCATTATGCAACAAGATAACGCCGAACAAGTGATATTAGATCCTAAGCTTATCGCAAAACATTATTTGAAAACATGGTTTTTTCTTGACTTAATTTCATCGATACCACTAGACTACATATTCCTCATATTCAACCAGGTAAGTATTACATAACGATTTCAATAGAGAGAGACATGCCAACTGGTTTATGCTTATAAAGTTTGTACACACCAAAAAGTAGATCGAAAAATCGTTCCAAAAAATCATGCAGCAGGTTAATCAGATATTAACTTGTTCATCTCAGCCTACTTTAAATTATCGTATCTAGACTAAATTTTCAATTGAACGAGCCTTTTTCATCTCGCTGTTGATTGGTTTCCGCACAAAGTAATTTTTCGGTATTTTGGCATTTTTTGAAACTTTAATTGATTTCAATATGGTGTTATATACCTCCACTCATTCAAATTTCACACAAGATCTATCTAAAGGTTGAGCTTTTTGGTTTAACAGTGAAGTTTTGTTGTTTTGATATAGCAGTTTAATTTCATTTTTTTTCGTGGTTTTCGGTGTTCTTAAGACGTTTAGATGCTTTTTTACGAGTTCGCTTGTTCTGTGACTGTATTATTGTGAAAGTTTTGCCTGTTTTGCGATACCAATGTTCCTTTTTACGAGATGACTATATATTAGTGTTTAGTTTTAGTACTTTTTATTTTTAGTTTAGGTTACATGATTGGGGCCAATCACGCCACCCAAGTAACACATAAAATATCGTTTTTTTTAAGAATTAGAACGGCTTGTTGTATAAATGTATTATAAGTGATGCAGAAAACATCGCACGTTTTATATGAGGTCCATAGATTGTTTTTTTTTATTATAGTCACTTTAACACTCTTGGGTCATTTGTGACTTGTCCGGGGGTGAGATTTGAACTCGAATCAATCCTTGATACGGTGACGTTGATTGGTGGACTGTTTCGTGCAACACTGGCTAGACGGTCTGCTTCTTCGTTACCGCGAATTCCGGCATGACCAGGGATCAAACAAAGGTGGATCGGCCGTCCACGTAGTAAGCGCTCGATTTCCTGGATCCACGGATGCTGTGATCTACCACTCTCTATGGCCGAAAGACAGCTGGCCAAACAGACAGAATTATAACACATTCGGTTGATGCTCTTGCAGTGATGACGGCCGACTTGATTGCAAAGGCCTCCGCCGAAAACACGCTACATTGTGACGGAAGACCTATTGCTTGCTGAATGCTGCTACTAAATACACCTGCTCCAACTATGTTCTCGCATTTAGAACCATCCGTATAAATATCCAAAGCACGGTTAAACCGGTTAGCCAGCAACTCCTGCACGATGGGACGCACTGTATTCGGGGGATCCCCAGCTTTCAGCTGCTGTTTCACATCCCAAACAATATGCGGCTTGGGTTCATACCACTCTCGGTTGGCGAGACGTGTCCGTACAGCGATGTTTGAAAGCTCTACAACAATCGTTGCGAGGCGATCGGACGCTCGTTCCACAACTGGAAGATTGATATTTCTGGAATCCTTCTCCATCAAACGAATTGCAGCACGAATTATGGCTTGCATAACCATTAAATCGAACGGCAAAGTGCCTGCTTCAGCCATAATCGCTGGAATCGGACTGGTGACGTACGCCCCTGAGGTGAACCGAACCATCCGGTTGTAGATGGGTGCAAAAGTCTGCACCACCGAATCCTTCGCTCTACTGACGAGGCCGATACCGTAGATAAGTCGCGACGTGACGATTGCTGATCCGATACACAACAGAAAATCGCGTTGCCCTCGCGGAAGTTTAGCCCCGATCATCTTCAAGATCCGCAGTCTAGAGTCGCACGTGGTTTTGATTATCTTGCAATGCTGTTTGAAGGACAGCGACCGGTCAAGGTTGACGCCAACAACTTTCAGTTGATTCGTCCTCGGTACAGCTGTACGGTCGATGAATATATCGTTGCTGGGTTCTCGACGAGCGTTGGGGCTGCCGTAGAAAATTTTGGATTTTGTAGCGGAAATTGTGAAGCTGACGCTTTTCACCCATTTGTCGACAGCTTTCACTGCAGCCTGTAGATCTCTATACAGAGGACGCTCCTTACACCTCCGTACCACCAGCAAAATATCGTCCGCATAGAGAAGCACGGCAACTGTATGCGGCACCACTCAGAAAATTGGCTGCATCGCTCTAAGGACTAACGTGACAGACAACACTGACCCTTGGGGGACTCCGTTCTCCAATAGCATTTCACCCGATAAATGTTCTTCCACGTTCACTTGGAAAGATCTGTCTGTGAGGAAACTGTTCAGTACGTTCAACATGTGCCCACCCATCTGCCACTTACGCAGAGTGCGCAAGATACCGTACCGCCAAGTGGTTTCGTACGCTTGCGACAGATCAAGCGATGCAATCAAACAGTGTTCATCCCGATTTGGCAATTACCTATCCAACTCCGCCAAGTATGTATCGACGCCTCTCCCAGCTCTAAAGGTGTGCTGCCTCTTGGCCAATCGTCCATTCGACTCCAACTCAGTCGTCAATCTGCGGTTCACTATACGTTCGAACACCTTTGCGATACAGTTGGTCAAAGTGATAGGCCGGAGAGCAGCAGGTCCAGATTCAGAACAGTTTGGCTTCGGAATCGGCACTATTATTCCAGTTCGCCAGCTGATAGGGTAAACGCCATTACGCCAGACTCTGTTTAGAAGATACAACAGCGCGATTTTGACGGATACAGGCAGACGTCGGATCATCGGATACCCTACCGAGTCAGGGCCTGTAGAGACACTACGTCCTTTGTCGAGTGCCCACAGAAGCTAATCCAGGGTGAAGTCCGCGTTATATATCTCGTCGTTGTCCGGAAGAAAATCCACGCGATCCCGTTCCGCTCTTTCCTTCGCTGTTTGAAACAGTTGGGGATAGCTTGAGGTCGCTGATCTCTCACAGTAGTGCTCGGCCAGTTCTTCTGCTATTTCTTCCACCTTCTCCGTGTAGCCATCGGGTCACTTGATAACCGCCTTGCTGTATTGTCGTTTGCCTCTCAGGGTGTTCATCGTCCGCCACATTTCTGCCGTTGTGCTGCTAGGTGATATTTTTCCGACAAAGTCCTCCCACAAATGTTCCTCAGCTTCCTTCACTGCCTTCTTAGCCGCTGCCTTCGCTTCCTGGAACTGCTTCAAAACATCCGCTGTGTCCGATCCTGCTGTTCTGCTGCGCTTCAGTGCTCTCAGAAGTTTTCGACGCCGCTTAATCGTCGTTTTCACTTCCGGGCACCACCACGGTACCGATTTGGAACCAACTCGTCCTGATGTTCGAGGAATGCTAGCGGTTGCTGCTGATAATATCCGGTCTACGAACTCATCAACGCCAATCTCGTCATCCGGTTCGATGCTGCTGGAAGTCAGTCGTTCGAACAATGTCCAATCTGCTTGGTCGTAGAGCCATCTTATTCGCTTTGTGGCGATCTGTGAGAATTCAGGTGAAGAGACGGTGATTGGAAAGTGGTCGCTGCTGTGGGTATCCAGAAGTGTTCACCTGATAAAGCTAGCACCTCCAAACAGATCGAAAGATCTATGGCAGAAAATGAACCGTTTGCTGGATCCACCCACGTGTGTGATCCGTCATTCAGGATTATCAGATGCTCCGTCAGTGTCTTTTCAGCGATGTAGCGGCCAAGCGCATTCGATGCCGTAGTACCTCAGGCGGGATGGTGCGCATTGAAGTCGCCAAGTACCAACATTGGCGCGGGCAGACGCTCCAAGAAATCATTTAGTTCTGTTTGGCACTGTTGCTGGGAATTCGGAGGTATGTAGATCGACACTACCGTCATTGGCGTCGGAAGATGGATGCGAACTGCAATGGCTTGAATATCACAATCGATATCGATGCGCTCGAATGGAACCCCTTCACGGATGGCAAGGCCCACTCCTTGCTGTCAGTACCAACGACTACCGGTTTGAAGAAGCAGGGTGTAGTTCTTGCCGGCAAAGTCTGGCGCGACCACACGATTATCCACTTTCGTCTCTTGCAGCGCTATAACGGACGGTTCATGCTGGCTGATGAACAATTTGAGCTTGCTGATGTTGGCACGTAGACCACGTATGTTCCACTGGAGGGCAATACATTTCGTGGGATGACTACTGCTGACTGTTGCTGATGACGAAGATGATGCTGACGGTCTACGCGTTGGACTTGACATATCGGCCGGATTCTAGGAGGAAACAGAGGGTGCAAGACACTCGTTACTGGTCCCTTTCTCGTCCCCCTGGACATCCACTTCTCTCCTGGGAAGGGGGGAGGTTACTTCACGCTCTCCCTCCCCACACCGATTTTGGAATACTGTCTGTTGCAGTAATACTGACGGTGGAGGTGTATCTTGACTTTGCTGTTGACGAAGAATTTCACCGGCGGAAAAATTCCCGAACCCGTTACTAGGAATGATAGTGCCGGTGGCACTCACAACGTTGTGGTAGCTAGTGTTGCATGACGATGGATTTTCGATTGGCTCTACATACCGACGACTGCTTTCGTTGGAAAGTGGCCATATGGGTGTATTGGATGTAAGCGAGTGATATCGAGGTGGTATTATTATAGGTAGGTAAGTGGTATGTTGTTCTAATGTTTCATAATCGATCGCAGAGTGGGATTCTCCATCAACGGGTTGGGGTAAGACGTCCCAGATGGATCCTCCGCCTGCTGCGCTCTCTCCTGTGAGAGTGAAGGGGGTACTACACTTTCCCTCCCTTCAAGTCAAACGATGTCGTTGTCCGTTTCACCTTGTCCGGTATGTATTGCTGGTCGGTAAAAGTTTGGAGGAATGAATCTTATCGAAGATGCTGACTAGGGGGCATCTCTTTGATCTCATCCTCGTCGACGCTTATCGTTTCCTGGTCAGATGTCGGTGTTTTTTCAACGGGCTTCTTCAGCGGGACTTTGCGACAGGGTGAGGTATTTTTGCTCCTGTCGTGCCTTTTCTTCTTCTTGTTGTGTCTAGATTCCGTTGTCGCTGGCGATCTACTTCTGAGATGCATCGACGGTGCGGCTATCTGCGATTCTCCGGATTTTCTCATGAGTTGAGAATGCAGGTTCGATTCGATTGCTTGGCGTGATTGACTTTCGGAAGGATGGATCGGTTTACCCGGCTGGGCTAGAGGGGTTTGTTGAACTTGCGGTGTTCGAATCAGTTTAATGTGTTCCATTAATTTGTCAATCTTTTCGTCCTTCTTCTTCATCACTTCAAGAAGTTGAGCAATTTGGGCGTCTTTCTCCTCCATTTTCTTT